CAGGGACAATTTCCAGGTTTGAGAATAAGTTCTAATGTAAATATTTAATCATAATACTTAAGATTGTAGTGTGTCTTTTGTCCGAGCAAACTTTTAAGGTTAAGCTCAGAATTTGTATTACTGTCTACTAGAGTACTACCATTTGCTGCTTAAGTCCTTCGCATTTTTTTCAGCATTAGGATTACTGTAATAGATCCTGTGTCTATAACACAGTGGTAAAGTCATGTAAACATAAATGTTAATTGAATTCTGTAAAACAATTACCTAGTTTGGGGGTGTTTTTTTCTTAAGTTAGACATATTTAGGGAAAATGCACTTAGTTAACTTGAGAGTGAGTCATTGAAAATATATGCCTCGTTATACTGAATATTGACATTGAAAAAAAGGTATATATACCTGGGTGAAAACCTGAATATTCAGTAGTTTGTATGTATTAACAGGTGAATATTAAACTCTCAAAATCTGGAGTGTTCTTAAAAGCTTTATCCAAGAAAATGTATAAAATGTGAGTGCAACAAATGAACTGCAAATTGTGTATTAAAATACTTCAGGCATCAATTTGCTTTTTCGGTTTCCTTTTTTTTTTTTTTTTTTTGTTTTGGGACGGAGTCTCGCTCTGTCACCCAGGCTGGAGTGCAGTGGCGCGATCTCAGCTCATTCACTGCAAGCTCCGCCTCCCTGGATCACACCATTCTCCTGCCTCAGCCTCCTGAGTAGCTGGGACTACAGGGGCCCACCACCACGCCTGGCTAATTTTTTTTTTTTGTATTTTTAGTGGAGACAGGGTTTCACCGTGTTAGCCAGGATGGGCTTGATCTCCTGACCTCGTGATCTGCCCACCTCGGCCTCCCAAAGTGCTGGGATTACAGGCGTGAGCCACCACGCCCGGCCTGCTTTTTCTGTTTACTTTCTAGATTTCTTTCCTAAACATATTTCCTTACCTGATAACTTTGTTTTCATAATTTTTGTATTTCCCTGCTCCCATCAAAGTCCTCCCAGGACTCAGAATGCCTTGTTCCAAGTTATGTCTTTGCCACAGATTTTATCTACGAGTTTCTCTTATCAAATTAGCAGATTAGAGCAGTTGAGTTTCCACTGCTGTGCCATTCAGTTCTTTTCACTGAATTATTTTGTGATTATTTAAAAACATTGTGTAGCCTTACCTTTCTTCTCAATGTCCTTTAGTAGAAAGCCCAGCCCAATTTAAAGTAAAATAAATTGTATATGTAAGGCAGAAAAACTAGTAATGTCTGGTGTTTTATGTTATCCTGCACTCAAGCTAAGTTGGTTGTATAACAAATTTATGTAATTAACCATTTCGTAGAAACTTATTTCCTGTTTTATAATATGGGAGAAGATAGCTGTCTAAAATTACTAATTACCACTATATATTGTATTTATGTAATTTAAAGGAAAGGACATATAGCAGAAGTTCCCAGACTTCTCTTGGTTCACTTTACCTGTGTGTCTCAGTAATTTTAATATGGTGTTATCCTTGGGCCAGAAGAAATACCTAACATCTGTTTATTAAATAGTTTAAAAGGCCAGGAGCACACCTATAATCCCAAAACTTTGGGAGGCTGAGGCAAGAGGATTGCTTGAGTCCAAGAGCTTGAGGCTGCAGTGAGTTGTGATCATGCCACTGCACTCCAGCCTGGGCCACAGGTGAGACCCAATCTCTAATAAAAAATAAATAGAAAGTTCACATAGCTAAAGTATATCTAACAACTTAGCCATGTGAAATTTTAAAAAATATGTTTACAGTTCCATTCTTAACCACAATGAGTTACTAATGGGATGTCTGCAACTGTTGGTCACAGCACAACTTCTCAAACCTCAGATCAGATCACATACACCATCCTCTCCTATAATACATTGATTTTGTGCAATATATGTTTTACCCCATCAACTGCTGAAAATCCAGCTTTACAGACAGGATGTCATCAAAAGGCAGAGTTTTAGTATGTTGAACTACCTCTAGCTAGTCTTACAGATGTCAGGTAGTTTGTTTCAAAAGTTTAAACTGTCCCACCAGCTGTGCCTTTGTGAGTTCACGGTGGTTCCTCAGTATGCCTTGGCACACAATTTGGGAATCAGTAGATAACAGTGTTAAAATAACCAGCTATGTTACTCCTTTAAAACAGTTCGTAAAACCTGAGGTCCATAAACCCACAAACAGTAACTCAGAATGATGGTTGCCCACAGAATCTGCCATTTTAAAAAAGTATAACCCAGATATACTGAGCCACAATGTTGGATGTATGTTAGTTACTGTGCTGTGCAGTGTATTAGAGGTCATTGTGGAAGTCCTTAAAACTATATGCAGAATTGTAGAGTATATGTGTGTGTGTACCTTACTGCTGAAAAAGCCACCAAGTTTTATCAGATTCCAAGAGGCTCATGACATAAGTAATGTTTGCTCAAGACTTGGTCTCTTAGAGAATGATACACTGAACAATTTACCCCTTTACCCAGCATTCCCATTTGTAGGAATCTATCTCAGAGGTTAACCGACAAAAATATGGGGGAAAAAAAAAAAAAGGCAGCTGTTAATTACAGAATTTGTAATAGCAGAAGACTGGAAACCACACAAACATCTATTGGTATACTACTGGTTGAATAAACAGGTACACCCTTGCAAGAGAATACTATGCCAGTTGGAAAAGAAATGAAGATATTTATATCTGCTGTGTTGTGTCTCCAGGATATATTAAGTGAAAAGAACAAAGTTATTTTGTGTTAAGAGTAAAATACATGTGTATTTGCTTTTAAAGAGAAATAAGCAAAGGACACAACAGTGAAATGGCAACCTAAGGAAGGAAAAGTATTTGCAAATCATTTATCTGATAAGGGATCAATCTAGAATACACAATAACTACAACTAAACAACAAAACAAATAACATGAAAAAAATGGGGAAAGGACTTGAATAGACATTTCTCCAAAGATGATGATAGACAAATGGCCAGCAAGCATATGAAAAAACATTCGATGTTACTAATCCTTAGGGAATGCAAATCAAAATCACCATCACAATGAAATAATACCTCAAAGTCACTCAGGATGTCTACCGTCAAAAAAACATGGTAGTGAGGATGTGCACTTCGTGCACTGTTGGAAATGCAAAATGGTTCAGCTGCTATGGAGGAAAGTATGAGTTTCTAAAAATTTAGAATTATATGATTCAACAATTCTACTTCTGGGTATATGTCCAAAAGAATGGAAAGGATCTTAGAGTTATTTGTACATCCACAATTAAAGGAGCATTATTCACAATAGCCAAGAGGTGGAAGCAACCCAAGTGTCCATTCATGAAGGAATGAATAAACAAAATGTGATATACATACAATGGAGTATTCAGCTTTAAAAAGGAAGAAAACTGACAAACTATAACATGGATGAACCTTGAGGACCGTTCACTAAATGAAATAGTCACAAAAGGACTTATACTGTAGTGGTCGAAATTCACAGAAACAAAGTAGAATGATGTTTCCCAGTAGCTGAGGGGAGGGGGAAATGGAGACTAGTTGTTTATACATAGTTTCAATTGTGCAAGATGGAAAAATTCGGCAGATTGTTCAGCAATATGAATATACTTAACACTACTGAATTATATACTTAGAAATGATTAAGACATTAAACTATGTGTTCTGTGTTTTTTACCTCAATAAGAAATGGAAAAAAAAAAATGAGGGAATGCAGTTCACAAAAATCACACAAAATTCAGTAGTACTGAGTATATTCACAGTATTGTGTAGCCATGACCATTATCTAGTTCCAGAAGTTTCTGGCGCTCCACCTGGAAACTCCCTACTCATGAAGCAGTCACTCCCCATTCCCCTCCCCCACAACCCCTGGTAACTGCTAATCTGCTCTGTCTCTTTGGAAGCAAGACAAGTTTTGTCGTCTTGTCTCAAGTTGGCACAACTACATGTAGAATTATTTTAAGTGACCTCAAAATATTATAATGTGTACATGTCTAATAAGATATACTCCATAAAATAAACCACAAAGAAGTCTTAAACTTCATTCAATAATCCTATTGTTAGTGTAGTAATGCTGCTAATGTTATCTGATACTAACCACAGAAGGACAAAACAAATAAGCATATGAATTTCTGCTGAGGAGAAAAGAAATATATCAAGGAGAAATATTATTCAGCCATAAACTGAAATGAGGTACTGATAAATGGCACAACATGGATGAACCTTGAAAATATGCTAAGTGAAACAAGCCAGACACAAAAGGCCACTGTATGATTCTGTTTATTCAAAATACCCAGTATAGGCAAAGCATATAAACAGTTACCAGGGGCTGTGGGGAAGGGGAATGGGGAGTCACTGCTTAATGAATGGGTCTGGGGTTTCCAGTCAGAGCACTGAAAAATTCTGGAACTACACAATGGTCATGGCTATACAATATTTTGAATGTACTTAATACCACTGAATGTACATTTAAAAAGTAAATTTTACTTGTGTAATTTAGCACAGTTAGGAATCTCAAAATTGGGGTTTTATATATACCCAAAAGAAATACTGAGAACGATCAATTAAATCAGACATAATTGTACTTAGATGAAGAACAGCTTTATTAACAGAAATCCATTTACATTTGAAGCTCATATATGCTACAACTTAGTCTTCTCAATGTTAAAAATAATTTTTTTCTACCATGTAAAACCTAACCTTCTCTTTGACTTCTGAAAATTATATTTTGGTCCCTGAGAGTTATAAAAAGGGAGCTGGACTCCAGTAATATCATTTGCCTGATAGCTGGGTCTTAATCCACCTCTATCCACAAGCACTGGTCCACGGCCACTTCCAGGTCCTTCCTGTACAGCTTTTACAAGAGGGTAAATAAATTTATTTGTTGTTTCCGATTCAAGTTCAATTACCTCTCTGGCATAGTCCTGAAATTCTTTCTCCTTTTCAGCCACAAGAGCTTCAGTAAGTCTGCAATAATCTAATTCTGCTTGTTTTGCTTGCTTTGCATTAAACTTATTTTTGGCCTATTTGGAAAAGAAAGGAAATATAACTTAATATTGGTTAAGAACATGAACTTTCTAAATATAGGTAGCATTTGAAAATGTAGGTATAATTTTCTAAACTCATTGATATTTTACAAGTTCTGATTTAACAACTATGTACTATCATTTATTTCAGAAACTTTCCTATCATGCATAGGTAGCATTTGAAAATGTAGGTATAATTTTCTAAACTCATTGATATTTTACAAGTTCTGATTTAACAACTATATACTATCATGTATTTCAGAAACTTTCCTATCATGCTCAAAGTAGTGGCTCAATGAAACCTTTATTAATAGCCTAATGTGATACATTTGCAAATAACACAGTGATATAGCAAAACATGAAATTTAGATAAAACTCAGGTAACAGAGTTTAGAATCCTGTTTCAACCACTTACAAGATGTGAACTTTAGTGGTTTAGAATGCACAGCCACCATTGTCTCTAACCATCCGCTATTTTGGAGGAATTCACTCAACTCTACTGTGCTGGGTCAGCCCAATATACCATGTTCCCAGCCACATAAGATTAAATCAGCAGTGAATATCTGGACTAAAAGCATTTACATTATTTCCCAAAAATTTTAAACTGGAACAATGAGTGACATTTATCAAGGGAGGTTGAGAAGGCACTGAGTGGAATAAGTAGGCAATTTGCCAAAAGCCAGTTTACCAATATTTTATACAAATTTTGTCTTTTAATTGTTTATATTAATTTACATTGGATGGGATTCTTTTTATGGCTTTTCTGTGATGCTCTGGTTGGCAACTTTTCATTTGTATTCTCTGTGGCACTTTAAGAAATGTTGAGTTTATTTTTTAAAATAAGTTACTTTGTCTACTTAGGAATATATTTAATATTCATAAAAATATTTCTCAAAATCCAAAATGTTGGCATAAAACAGTAGCCCAAACCTGATATCTACCATAAATTTAAATTTTTGATGGAACAGAGCAACCATATTTAATGTGAAATATCAAATTTTTCATTATTGGGTGCTGCAATTCAAAATTCAGTTTACATACTATTTGTGAAATTGGGGATAAAATACCAGAGTTTTAAAAAGTAGAAAATGACAATAAGATTGGAGAAAAGGTCAAAAAAAGGCCAAAATCTATCTCTCATCAAAGGTAAAATGCTAATATTTGGGAACTTAATAAGCAGCAATTTGGATAAGTTAATTTAGTAAATGTAGAAAAATATTGAGGGAACAGAAAGAACCATTTGAAGCACAGAAAGGAAGTGACAATGGAAGGAAAGAATTACTATGATGGAACATATGATTGGTACCTCACATTTGATATGCATTAAGCATAAATATAAGTTTATAAAGAAAAAGTTCCAAAAAATTAAGTTTAAAATCCTAAAAATGCTAATAGATGAAGGTAAAAGTACTTTCCAAGTACATTTGGAAGATAATAGCTAATTAACTATCCTGAAAACTGGAAAATAAGGCAAAAAAAAAAAAAATCAAGTATTTATAAAAATTGTACCTAACAGGAACCAAGTATTTGATCAAGAAAACTTCTTAAAGACTTCAACAAGTAAATCAGAAGGATTCCAAATACTGATCTTATTTGATCATGATTGAAACAAACTATTTTGGCACCCGGCCAAAAATTAAAAACTTTTATATCTCAAAGATATTATCAACAGAGTGAAAAGGTAACTCATGGGATGGGAGAAGACATTTGCAGATCATGTTATCTGATAAGAGATTAATATACAGAATATTTTCAAAACCTCTAAAACCCAACAGCAAAAAATCCAATTCAAAAATGGAGGCCAGGTGCAGTGGATCACACTTGGAGTCCTAGCACTTTGGGAGGCCAAGGCAGGCACTTGAGGTCAGGAGTTTGAGACCAGCCTGACCAACATGCCGTCTCTACTAAAAATACAAAAATTAGCCTGGCGTAGTGGTGGACACCTGTAATCCCAGATACTTGAGAGACTGAGACAGGAGAATTGCTTGAACGCTGGAGGCAGAGGTTGCAGTGAGCCGAGATCACGCCACTGCACTCCAGCCTGGGCAGTGGAGCAAAACTCTGTCTCAAAAAAAAAAAAAAAAAAAGTGAAAACCAAACAGAAAAGGACAAATATTGTCTGATTCCATTTATGAGATACCTAGAATAATCAAATTCATTGAGATAGAAAGTAGAACAGAGGTTACCCAGACTGGAGAAAAGAGGGGATGGGGAGTTACTGTTTAACGTGTATAGTTTTAGTACAGGATGATGAAAAACTCTGGAGATGTAGAGTGGTCAATGTGAATGTACTTAATGCCTCTGAACCGTACCCTTAACCATGCTTAAAATGGTACTTTTTTATGTTATGTTTTACCACAATAAAAATCAATTTTAAAAAACTCAGCACTAAGAAAACCCAATTAAAAATTGGCAACACTCTTAAATAGACACTTCACAAAAGAAGGTATACAGATGGCTAGCAAGGATGTGAAAAGATGTCCATTATCTTTGGTCATTAGAGAAATGTAAAATAAGGCCATAAGATATCACTATACTAGAATAGTTAAAATTAGGGGATGACAATATCAAGTGTTGATGAGTATGTGGAGTAAGTTGTGCTCGCATACATTGCTGGTAGGAATGGAAAATGGTACAGCCATTTCAAAAACAGGTTTTAGTTGCAAATGATTGGATGCTAGGTCCTCTACATATCTTCTAAAATCTGATATCTCCATTCACCTCAAATCTGAAACCTATGAGATCCCAATCAACATAGTCTTTGAGATATGGGAAAAAAGTAAAACGAAGATGAGCATTATGGCCTGCCACATGCATTTGTATTTTCTTTAATATTTACTAAAGTATAATAGACACTAAAGAAGGATAAACATTCATCTAAAAGATAAAACTCGCATGGGAACTTCACTGGAGATAAAAACAGAAACTAACCCTACATTTTTAATATATTTTATTGAGCCATAACCATAATGACCATTTTTTTCTTATCTGACAAAATAAACTGCTTGGGAGATAGAAAACTAGCATGAATTCTGTATTATATACTTATTGCTAATATAAGTATAAACATTCAGGAATAATTACCATTTGCTGAATATGGGCGTCTTGAACCTCTCGGTGTTCTTTATCAGCTTTGTATTTTTTCTCCTTTTCATGTTCCCAGAAAATCTGATCTGCTTTCATGACAGCCAGCAATTGTTCTTTAGCCTCTATTTTTCTTTGTCTTTCTTCTTCCTCTTTATTTTTCATCTAGACGTTTAAGGCAAAGGAAACAAATTAAAACCAGTTATAGCAACCATTCCTGTCTGAAAAGGCATAGAGTCAGAGAGTTGAAGCAGAGGAGAGTCAGCCAGGAGCAATACAGGAGCAGAAAAGTGCATGCACTTTTCTGGCCATGAGGCCAGTTTACTTTGGTTTTGCTCTATTTCCTGAATATCAGAAAACACCCAAGTGATACAGGACAATCTTTATTGGCTTGAAAAAGAAAATACAGGAAAAGAAAAAAGATCTTCTCAAGGAAGGGAAATACGTAAGTAAAAAATTAATTGCTCCAGTCATGCGTGGTGGCTCACGCCTGTAATCCCAGCACTTTGGGAGGCCAAGGTGGGCAGATCACCTCGGGAGGTCGGGAGTTTGAGACCAGCCTGACCAACATGGAGAAACCCTGTCTCTACTAAAAATACAAAATTAGCCAGGCATGGTGGTGCATGCCTGTAATCCCTACTACTCTGGAGACTGAGGCAAGAAAATTGCTTGAACCCAGAAGGCGGAAGTTACGGTGAGCCAAGATTGCACCATTGCACTCCAGCCTGGGCAACAAGAGTGAAACTCCGTCTCAAAAAAAAAAAATTGCTCCTATGTGTATAAACTATCAGCTATCCAAATTAAATGTTATGACAGTCATGTAAGATATAAGTTTTGAAATATTAAACAAATGTATAATTTGTACATGGTTTGTCTTTAAAACATACAAATGAAAAGTATACCACATAAATAACCTTTGTGTTTCAGATGGTTCTGAAACAGGAGAGATTATTACTTTGCATCTATAAATATCTCATTTGTAACTGACTGTCATGTCATCTTTGTTAGGAAGTAAACATTATCCAATTTCAAAAATACAGGAAGATAAGTAATATATTGTTTTTAATATCTTGGCTAGTTTTTGGTTAGAGAGGCAGATGGGATGGGAAACATAGTAGAAAGGTCCTAACTTTGTCTTTCTATTTTTATTTTCATAATTGAATTGTTTACCACAATGGCTCTATATTCTGCAATTGTTTTTAATTCTGCTTTGTTTTTTTCATCTTTTTCTCTTTCTCTTTTTTCCCATTCAGCCTCAGCTTCTGCAATATCTCTAGCAATAATCATATCTTCATTGTCAAGTTTCTCTTTCAATAGTTCACTCAGGAAGTTATGTATTCTTTCTCTTCGTTTCTCCATAAGCCTGTAACAAAATAACCATACTTGTCAAATCTTCATGAACAGATGTCCAGTGGAGCCAACATAACTTAATTAGGGAGTCTGAGATAACTTGTCATCTCTTACAAAACTAACAGGAGCCCCATTGCTCCTTACATACATTGATTATTTTAAGTGGGAATTATTTTTTAACTATAAAGTACATATATTCTAAAATCCAAAGAGAGTAATATGTATAATACATCTCTCTCTCTCTCTCTCTCTCTCTCTCTCTCTCTCTCTGTGTGTGTGTGTGTGTGTGTGTGTGTGTATGTGTGTAAGAAATAAGATCTTAAAATTATCTACATTGAAAAATATTTTAGGCCAGGTGTGGTAGCTCATGCCTATAATCCCAACACTTTGCGAGGCTGAGGTGGGAGGATCGCTAGAGCCCAGGAGTTAAGAGACCAGCCTGGGCAAGATGGCAAGACCCCATTTCTACAGACAAATTTTTTAAGTTGGGCACGGTGGCTCATGCCTGTAATCCCAGCACTTTGGGAGGCCGAGGCGAGTGGATCATAAGGTCAGGAGTTCGAGACCAGCCTGACCAACATGGTGAAACCCTGTCTCCTAAAAATACAAAAATTAGCCGGGCGTGGTGGCACACGTCTGTAATCCCAGCTACTCAGGGGGCTGAGGCAGGAGAATCGCTTGAACCCAGGAGGTGTAGGTTGCAGTGAGCTGAGATCACACCACTGCACTCCAGCCTGGGCGACAGAGCGAGACTCTGTCTCAAAAAAAAAAAGAAAAAAAAGTCTTAGCCAAGGCAGTGGCACGGACCTGTAGTCCCAGCTACTCAGGAGGCTGAGGCAGGAGGATTGCTTGAGCCCAGGGGTTCAAGGTGGCAGTGAACTGTGTACCACTGTATTCCAGCCTGAGTGACAGAGTGAGACTCTATTAAAAAAAAATTAAAGAAAAAAAATTTTTTTTGAGATAGAGTCTCACTGTCACCCAGGCTGGAGTGCAGTAGCACAATCTCAGCTCACTGCAACCTCCGCCTCCTGGGGTCAAGCTATTCTCCTGCCTCAACCCAGCTAGTTTTTGTATTTTTAGTAGAGAGGGGGTTTCACCATGTGCCCAGGCTAGTCTTGAACTCTTGACCTCAAGTGATCCACCTGCCTCAGCCTACCAAAGTGCTGGGATTACAGGCGTGAGCCACTGCACCTGGCCACAGAAAATATTTCAATATTTTATCAGACTACCCTGCTTACTCTATCATTGGAGGCTGAGGCTATAAAAGGCCTTTATTTAAATAAAATCAAAGAAATAATCTAATAATTAAAGTTATCAAAATCCTAAATATCCATCCCCTCACAATATTCTGTCTGGAATTTATTCACAGCACTTTTTTGACTTGATCTGTTTAAATTTCTCCCTTTACACTTTAAGGTTCCTTTTTTGTTTTTTTTTTTTTAAGAGACAGGATTTTGCTATGCTGACCAGGCTGGTCTCAAACTCCTGGCCTCAAGCAATCCTCCTACTTTGGCCTCTCAAATTCACTATGAGATTCCTCAGGTCAGAAATTGAATGGGTCCTCTCTCTAGTGAAGAGCAAAGCATGTGCCTGGTACATTGTAAGAATAAATAAATTTTGTTAAATAAATTGGGGCATTTTAATTTATGAAATTGTATAAAAAATAATTTTGTTGTGACAAATTCACTTACTGAGTGAATTGGCAAAGCAGCATGTGAGAAATGATGAGAAAGGATACAGTGCATACTCCAAGGAAATTACAATTTAAAGTGGAGAAAAAACATTTATGCGAATGTCTTTATAACTATCCAAGACAAAGGGTAATAAATGCCATGAGAAAGCTAGAAAATGATATGGACAAAGGAGAAAAAAAGAAAGCTTTCAGAGAAAAGGTGACCTTTCAGGTAGAATTCCAAAAAACAGTATTTTAAACAGTTTTATTGATTGCTTACTATGCTCCTGACACCATTCCAGGTGCTGGGGACAGACCTAACAGTGAACAAAAAAGTTGGGCATGGTGGCGTGCACCTTTAATCCCAGCTACTCAAGAGG